AAGTTCTGGTGTTAACCTTTACATTGGTGAATTGAGTGAAAAATTATTTTTTTTCTTACGACAATTTTTAATTATCTGATTTGGGGACTGCTCACAGAGACATATTCTTGAAATAGGACAACAACAAATGAAAACTCTGATATATTTCTTATAATAACATAAAAGTTGAAAATTATAATAATACCATTAAACAGAAGAGAAGTCTTCTTGTCTGAACCTAGCTCAACTCCAGTCACACAAATAAAGACACACACACACACACACACACACACACACACACACACACACACACACACACACACACACACACACACACACACACACACACACACACACACACACACACACACACACACACACACACACACACACACACACACACACACACACACACACACACACACACACACACACACACACACACACACACACCTAAAAATCTTTCATCCTCATCACCTTACTAAACCTTGTCTGAGCCCACATGATCAAGCGATCACACAATGTGCTATACAAGACTTTGTGTCAAGTCAGCTGCCTGTCATGTATAAGCACCTGTGTGTGTCTACTTACTTGATGGCATGGTATAGGTGTCCTCCTCATCTATGATCTCTGCGTAGTCGTCTGTTTCTTCAGAGAAAAGCAAAGAGGGGAGGGAAAAAGAACATTCAGTCTCAGTCAGGCTGGTAACAAAAGAAGAAACAGAAGTGTTGACAACACTCTCACTTCTTAAAACTTTTATAAAACCACCTGAGCTTTTAGGGAAACATTCAGTTTACGAAAAGGAAAGCTTTGAGACAACATTCACCGAAAGCCCAGACATTAAAAACACCCTGTGAATACTTAGATCCCCCACTAACAATATGACAACCAAACTTTTAAAATCAGAGTATGCTACTTTAAAATATTTCAGAACACACCTTTACACACAATAAAAATAAATAAACAACAAAAACATCGTAAAATAGAAGTACCTTTCCAAAAGCCCGTCACCATACCCAATTCCAAACACATGCTTACCAATTTAAAAGTTCATGTACAATAAAACAGCTTCACATAAGGAATGAAGGGCAGAAGAGTACAACAGAGAGAGAAATGGGGAAGAGGAAGGGGAGGGATGGAAAAGGTTTTGTTCTTTCCACAAAAAAAGTTGAAGAAAAACAGATTGAGTCATGGATCAGGCTGGAGAGGAAACAGGCTCATAAGAAGAGAGATAGTTCACACGCGTACAGTATCACTAAATGTAGAAACCCAGAGCAGGAATACCACTGAGTTACTAATTTAGGACGGTTAACAGAAAAAATGTTGTTTACCATCGCCACTAGTGTGACCTGCAGGAGCCACATGCAGCATGAAACACACACACACACACACACACACACACACACACACACACACACACACACACACACACACACACACACACACACACACACAGAGAAGGAGAATATAGAGTTAGTATTACTGTAAAAACAAATGAGGTCACAGATATTTTTTAATGGTCGCTTCATTTGGTGTCCTTTTAATTTAATTCTACATGAGTTAGTCAGAGGTCAGTAGACAGTCAGGGCAGAGTGACTAAAGCTCTCCATGGGGACATCTGGCGAGACAAGGACTCTTCACTGCACACACAGATGAGGCTTTATAGGGGAAACAGGGTGTACACACACACACACACACACACACACACACACACACACACACACACACACACACACACACACAAACACACACACATCTTTACACCCTTTATCTAACTGGTAGCGGTCACAGTCATTCATGACATTTAGAGCAGCAGACTGAGAGGAAGATTAAAAGAGGGGAAGCAGAGAAACAGGCAAGAGAAAGAGAGGCAGAGATTTATACCCGAGACACAGACAGCTCTGGTTCGTACTCCATCCATTCGTTTTTCCATCCGCCTCTCATGATTTGAAACTCTGGACAGGAGAAGAGAAATTCTTACTTACATACTTGGTTCACAATAAGATTAAGTAAAGATAGTAGTGCAACTAGAGGTATTGTGCCTAGAGGTATTGTGCCACCAACAGTAAAATATAAAAGCACAAATGAAAGTCTTCACGTAGAACAGAATGATGTGAAAAATATGGGCACATCCAGGACATTCAACTTTTATCATCAAGACCCAGATTAAAGCTTGGTTACTAAAATTAAAACTATTTCTGTCTGCAAAAATTCACATTTCAATTCAAAAAAATCAAAGCATCACCACAAAGTCGACTACAACTGAATTCTCTCACAGTAAAGTAACAGCTTTAATTGTTCTCGCTCACTTAAGAAGTGAAACAAAAAGAAAGTCTGTTGACTTACTTGGGGATGGAAGGCAGAGCTCTGTCACCCTCTGCACAGACAAAATGAACACATGAATCAGACACCCACTGGCGCCACATCACTGTAAAACATTTCTTTGCAGCCATTGTTATTTTTAGAAAAGACTAGCTTAACACTGACAGGCTGGTTATTCAAAGTGACAGGCTTAAAGCTTCAACAGCCACAATCAGACTTGACTTCTGTGTGAAGGATGGCTGACAGTAATTTCAACTCAGTCCACTATTTATAGTTTTCTTCTCTGCATCGTGTAACTGTTGCAACCTAAACAACACATCAAAGATTTGAAGATACACAACCACACCATAATAATGCTGTGAATAAGTCCAAACATTTGGAGACTTAATGGAATATTAATGCACATGAAAAAAAACATGTGGCTTACCTTTGTGGACTCTGACAATGAAGGAGTGAGTAGCTGAGGAGACGAGCCGACAGTAACCGTCAATCAAGTCAGCCATGTTTTCTGCAGTTGTCAGCAATGCCGTGGTGACTGTGAGGGGCTAGACACACAGAAACATGCATACACGCACACACACACACACACACACACACACACACACACGCACACACATACACACAAGGATGACTGTAAGAGTAGGACAGAGAGTTGCTTCACAGTGACACAATGACAGCTTTATTAGGGATACCATCTTCTACCAGAGCACATACAGACACACACACACAGACAGATACTCCAGCACACATGCGTTTCCACTAGTAAGGCCTGCTGTGAACATACACACTCACTCTCGACAGACACACTCACGCTGACACTCGTGCAGATGGCTACACCCGCCTTCACCCTTCAGTGTTGCCTCCCTCTTTCCTAATATCACTTCCTGTTTTTCCTACATGTACAATTTGAAATGCCTGATATATTTAAAAGGTGACAAAAAAATCAAGTAAACATCTGGTTTTGGCTTACAAATACGATTGCTTTAATATGGGAGAAATATAGTGATGGACCCTGCCTCTTTAAATACATTAACTTCATGTCAATCAGTGGTTTACATTAAAACAATACAGTTGGAATATACCAAAAGTGAAAACCAAACAATAGGCTATATAAAATGACTCAACATATAGCCCTTCAAAAGAAAAGGAAAACGTAACATGTGTGTGTGTGTGTGTGTGTGTGTGTGTGTGTGTGTGTGTGTGTGTGTGTGTGTGTGTGTGTGTGTGTGTGTGTGTGTGTGTGTGTGTGTGTGTGTGTGTGTGTGTGTGGTCACCTCTGGAGCTCCTGCTACGTTGAGCTGCAGCATGCCTTTCCTGTCTTTCTCCTCCAGTGCAGAGTATTGAATGGACTGAACCTGGTTAAAGTTAGCTAAGTGTGTAGGCTGCAGAGACAGACACAGAGAGAAATTCAAATTCACATGTAATTTCATGCACCATGCCGGTGCCTTTATTTATTATTGTCTTTTTAAAGAACCATTAACCATTGAAGCAAGGATACACAGGTTTGAGACTTATTTTCCCCATAGTTAGTTACTTGTCTATTTATGTTTCTATTTTTTATAGAAAACAAAAACAACAACAGTAGCCACACTTTGTAAACACTGAGCATAAAATAACTAGTTTTTGAAGGCCAAACAGGACGAGGTCTGATTCATTTATATTCAAAGATCAACCTCTTGAACTAATTATTGAAACTTTGAGAGGCAGCCTGTCTCATTAAGTTGAAATTTAATTACTCAATTTTAAGCACAGCAGCTGTTTTTATTCCCTAATCAAATCAGCTGGCACATATGGCTTTGTCAAGAAGATGCTTTATAACAAAGACTACATGTCAACAGGTATTCGTGCACTCATTTCACCTTAGGCAACTAAGGAGTCAAGAGAAAAATCAGTCTAGGTGCAAACCAGTAGATGGCGGTAGAGTGAGTTGACGTTATGGCCTTCAAAATAAAAGCCTACAGTTTTCAATAAATCATTCTTATGAATATAATCAGAGAGTCATACGATAAGTGAAAGTAAGAGAAATTTGAAAGGGCTACGCTTTGCCTGATATCAAAATTCAACCTTGTGTCTGAGTGGTCAGTGTGCATACTCACCGTTGAGCCCTTATCTGTGAGGTAGCTGATTCCTTCCTCTGGTCCGATAGCTAACTCTACTGATATTACCCAACTACACTGAAGGGAGAAAGGAAGAGAAGGCAGGAAATAAGATGTCACATTTCATTACATCGTCTGCTTAATTAACCAAATATTATTAACTATATCTGTCATAAAACTATTTTCATCCGTTTTCACTTCTTGACATTCACATCCCTCTGGGACAGATGGTGTTCTGCATACTTTAGTTGACAGACAATATAATACAAATACAGATGATAACAAGCTATAGGCAGTGAAACATGCTAAGTAGCCTCAACCTCACAATCCCGGATTTTGTATGTTCTAACATGGAAAATGTCTGATTAGACTTCACCAGAGATCATTACATGCAACATATTTTCTCCTCATTAACCTACCCCCAAAGCACATTTGAAGCACTCTTTGTCAAAGCGGTAGATGGGAGAGAGTATCTCAAAGAACTTGTGGATGCTCTGCTCATCGTTGAGGTTAGCGAACGGCTTGAAGGTCTGCTGGATCTGCTTACGGAGAGTCTTCGCCTTAGAAAAAAACATTAACAACTCTGGTTGGTTCAGGGCCAGTAACCCATGAAGACAACTGATAATGCACGCTGTGAGTGACAACAGGGGGTTTCATTTAAGACCAGACAATGAGATTAGAAGAATTTCAGCCAGAAATCTTTTCTGTCATCAATTTGTCTGCCTGCCAGTCAGCTGGACACTCAGTCAAATGGCCATCCAGCTGTCTAGCTGGCACAGCAGGACAAAGATTCCCAAAAACAAGGATGCCCCACTTCTGTGATATATAGAAGGCAATTAAATGGAAGGCCCTAATAGTTAGTCAGGTAGATAAAAGTTGAAGTTCCTGCCTTGCCAGTGTTTTTGTCTCACCTTCAGGGAGTCCAGCAGGCTTTTAGGGAAGAACCTCCTCAGACCAACATCTTTCCTATAATATCAAGAACATAGTCATTCATTTTTCTATAACCAAAAAAATAAACTATTTGGTTAAAAAAAAAGTTGAAGGTAAATGAAAGGCAGAATAATTTGGACACATAAAACCACTCTTACTCTAGTAGTTCATAATTAGATTTCTTGTCAAGAGCGTTTCCTGGCATCTCCCTGAAAAACCTCCTGTATTATTCAGAGGAGAGAAGAAACAGTCAAGAACCAGTTTGAACAAACCAAACAGTTTGGTCCATTCTAGTCATGGATGTGGAATAAGAATAATCTGTCGTGTGTGTGTGTGTGTGTGTGTGTGTGTATGTGTGTGTGTGTGTGTGTGTGTGTGTGTGTGTGTGTGTCTTACTCACCTGATTTCCAAACAGCCCAGTTTCAAAGCGACTTCTTGATCCACCTGATCAGCTATATGGTGCATGTAGTCACTTTTTACCTGGAGAAACACAGAGGAACAACATTTTTTTTTGATTCCAACACTGCATTACAGTAGCTTAACCTTAAAGCGTGTTATATATGTATTTTATTATGTAATCCGATGAAGAACCAGTGTATGTGAGTATGAGTCAGTTTTTAGAGTTAAGTGACAGAATGGAGGTACCAAAGCTTATAATGCACTTCAGAACAAGTTCCAGAAAAGATGAGATATAATGTGACACAAATAAAACACTTTTATTCAGCATTATCTCACTATTAGGTAAAAGTTATACCTGCTCTTTTTATGTGGCCATTTTGAGTTTCTCACCTGGTGATAGAGGTAGTTGAGAGAGGGTTTGTCTTCAGAGAAATGGCTGAGATAACCTTTAGGAAGGTACCGCATCCGCAACTCATACCTGAGAACGACATCATACAGTTTGGTATGAATAACAGCACAGTCTGCACCCCACACCCACACAGAGAATTCCATACCTCTACTGTAGCATGTCTGTCTGATGCATAGAGCGTGAAAGAGCATGCTAACTCAGACACACAGCTCACAAATAATCAGAGCTCAATATATTGTAAAGCCACACATTTGTTCCAGTTTGAGGTATTTTGAAGAGTTGGAGAAGAACTGCATTACTTTTCAGAAATAGAAAAAACATTGAGCTGCATTTATTATGTTACCACTTTTGACTTTCACTTAACAACATTGTTTCAAAAGGCTGAAAAATGTGGGAGAAGAGGGAGACAAATGTTTTTCTGACAGTTCAACAATTTGATAGAACATTCACGGCATGATAATGAGTGAATAGAAGTGAGAAAACTCTCTTAGCGTTTATCTTTGCATTATTTTCTTAATTTCTCCTGTTTTAGAGGAGGGATTAACAGCATGTTGGCTTCATAATAGCACTTATGCAGCGGTAGACATTATGTCTTGCTCAAAGTCACCTCAGCAGGGTGGCTGTTTGCCAACACCCCGAGTGGAAACCAAGTCTTGAGGCTGAAAGATGCCCTTTTCCTCCTCATTATATGACTGGCTGGCGGCACAGTCAGACCAGCTTTTGTATTTTGCTGACAGTTAACTTACTGAAAGTGATAACCTTGTGATACCATAAAGCATTATGAGATTCCTGCTGTTAGAAAATTCCAGTTAACTGTTCCACAGCAGTACCCAGTCGGGCCATCATTGTTTATAGTGACATATTACTTTATGACTGACATATTGCGGTGACTGTAGTTGAGAGAAATGGGTCAGCAGAGCAGTGAGCTCTGCACTGCTGTGATGCTACAGGCATGTAGTTAGGCAACAGAGGAAACTCAAAAGACAATGAATAAAACATCCTCGTTTTATAATGAATGATGCAAAGAGAGAGAGTGTGAGAAGAGAGAAAAGGATGCGTGTTTGAGAGAAAAGAGAGAGCTGGGCCACAAAGAATACACAGATGTCAGAGATGAAGAGAAGGGAGGATGGAGAGAAAGATCAAAGTGAAAAAGAAATTGAAAGCGCACGAGACAGAGTGAGAGAAAACACGCAAGGGAGCGTGAGAGAGGAGTGAGATAGTCAGTCCATCCCCTGGGCTGCTTCTGCCATTCTAACAATAGCTTGGCAGAAGCAGAAGCTCCTGTGGGCTTGCAGCTCTGCCGCCCTGCGAGGCAGAGCGGCAACAACTGGCGGAGCTGCTCGGCTGCATGTTAGCGGTGTGAACAACTGGTTCACTTTGAATTCATTTCAATTTTAATGACTTTGGGTGTAACACATCAACAGCAGGACAGTGGGCTGAATTGTAAGAAGAGCTGTTAACAATATGGACTGCAGATGGCTTAGAGCCAGCCCAGTTTAAAATGATGGTGAACATGGACAAAGCTTCTTTCATATATGACGGATACATGAGATAAATGTTTTCATCAGACAGCGCTGTTCATCCCTCATAGCAGAGTGGGAAACTGGATCAGATAATCTGGAAGACTTAGGCTCTATGAGTTATAGTGTAATAATAGCAGTAAATAATGTTAGCAAGAACATGCAAGTTGTCTACTCGTGTGATGAAGTCACCTTGGCCAGTGCAAATCAAATTAACGCCAAACTGTCAACCTTTTATTTATTAGGGCTATAAACTCCTCTGTATTTACAATTGGGAGACATGGATGAATGAGGAAAAAGATTAAATGAGGACCGTTAAATCTCAAGAAAAGAGAGCAACTCCATAATTCATACTTGGTGGTAAAATGTTCTACTCCTCGAATGCAGTAGTTACCATAACTGTGTTTCAGGTCAGTGGTTTAACAACAACATAACACTGTTTCATTGGGACCATATGTTACAAACTCTACAAGTTGTAGCTTATAAAGTTAGCTCAATAAAAAAGCTCTATGTTGTCAGGTTTGCAGCTTTAGTAAGTGTAGCTTATTTACACTTGAATACGACTTTCATGAAGGTTAAATATTTGTTGTAAAATATCAGCTTCTTGTCTTCCTCTGAGGAGAATAAAGTGATTTAATGTACCGTAATTGACCTGCTGCTTGATATGAGCTCAATATTAAGAGAGAAGGCGTCATCCAGCATCTACCTTAAGACAGAGGTGTCATCAAAAACAAGTCCCTCGTGCCCCATTATCCCAAATGGTTAAAAAAAATGTAAGACATGTGCTTAATGAGTCAGAGTCAAAACATTGAATAGTGTGGTAACTCTACCTCCACTCCTCCTGGGGGTGCTGTTTCTCATATTTCTCCCTGATGTGACAAACGCCCAAATCAGGGTGTAACCAATGAAGTGCATCAGAGTGCAGGTGGGTCAGCCGGAGGCCCAGAGAGGACACACAGCGCAATTTGTGGATCTCTGCTATCTTCTGGATAACACCCTATAGATCCAACAAGGGAAAACAGTAAGGATCAGAGAAATTGGGGCATGAAAGGCCAGAAGTTGAGAAACGCTTGTGTGTCTTACCCTGACATCTGTAGCATCTCCGTGCCTGATATTACTAGCCCAGGTGCATGGTTCGCTGTTTGTCTCAAAATAATGGAAGATCTTCAGGACCCTGTCCATGGAGCCTGGTGGCCGCTCGAGACCTCCTGCAGAGCCGCTGGTACCAACACCAGTACCACCAGGCATCCCAGACCGGGATTTCACCCCACAACCACCCGTTGCCGAGTGATTGTGGTTCGGCTCCAAGTAGGAAGACGACGCCATGCCTGACTCGGAAGCTGCGGCTGGGGCTAACTTGCTGTCATATTCTGAAAAGAGAAAGCGGAAAAAGGCGAGAACAGATGTGAAAATGTGGATTTACTGTTGATATCAGCTGGACGTTTGATAAGACTTTATGAAAGAGGCATTACACAGTGCATGGGAATGAAAATCACGTAGTTTAATACAGTCGATAAGGTGTGTAGAATTACAAAAATGTATCCATCAATTGATGATTCTTGTAACGGATGTACTTATTCGCCTGTAACATTAGCCATTACTCTCTGCCATTGTCCAAAGCTCTCAGGTTAGTGGTCCTCCATTTAATTGCAGTTTCTTGAATACTGAAGAGACCAATTGCTCTAAATCCTCTAACAGCCGTTGTTGGTATTAAACCTGAGAAAAATACAATTCTTTGGGCTCAATCTGATTGCATTGCTAATGTCACTCTTTTAACCTAAGGATGCATCCTGCCCCAACCCCGTCCTTTAAACACTGGGTCAGAGATACACTACAAAATGTGAAACTAGAAAAGGTTCTTCTCTACCCTTTCCCCGTTCATCGACGACAACGTACCAGCTCCACTAGCGGCTCTACCACCTCTTTAGGACCTGCTCTGTTTCACACTGTTTTACTTAGAGCTAAGCCCCAATGATCAAAGTTCCTGGCTGGTCTGATGGTCTCTAAATTGTCTTCAAAAGCACAAACAGATAGTTTCTGTTAAGGGAAGCTCAATACATAAATAAATATCTATAAATACAAACCAATAATAATCCATCCAGATCATCAAACTTAAACAGAACCACAGTGTTGTGAAAACATGATGTATTGGTCAATAACATCCATAGTATTCTTGCACAATAAGAGAAGTGTGCTTTACATATATGTCTATAGAAATATGGATTAATATTCAGCAGGTAAACAAAAGCGGTCTCTGTACCATAAAATGTTTCAGATAAATATCTTTAAAAGTCAATAGAATATTGTATGAGAAAAGAAAACTGTTGTATCATCTTCATGTAGTGAGCTCAGCCAAATTCATCTCCTGGTGCTGCGTCAGAGATGCACCATAAAGAATGTCCTTCCAAAACATGGCCGACATTGATTCCAAGGTCTGCTGCAGGCACATCAGTAAAATGGACATACTCATGTTAAATGAGTTGCTGTAGTTGAAAAGTAGCCTACGTAACAAATACATTCTTACTGATAAACTCTCAAAGAAGAGCTCTCAGATAATCCTTTAAAGAATTACTAGATGTGCATTTAGAAAAAGATTTAAAGAAGAACCCACAGTTACATTACAACTTTAAAAAGGCAGAACTTGCTTCACATACTCAGTTTTACAGTATTGGGCTACAGTAGGAATAGTTCCACTAAATTGCTTCACAGAGAACTCTTCTGAAACCTGCCAGAGCATAGCACAAACAAGCACAAACCATGCTGTTCCACACATCTTTGACTTAAACTACCTCAACAGTTTACTGACTTTCATGTTGTTTCTCTACCCCACATTCCTGCTCATCTTCACACATCTCATCCCTGTGCTAGACACACACTCTGCTGCTTCCTGTGTCCCCCTGTCACTTCCTGGCTGACCCTGCAGTCTTTGTTGAGTCATCATCATCGCTGCAGTGAGTTGTTTCAGCTGACTGTGAATTCTGGCCGTGACAATAAGGATGCAAGTTAAATGATTCACTGAATAATTTCATGGCTCATTTCCAGAATTAGCGTTCTGATGTGCAACTAAATACTTGTGTGAACTTGAAGTGTCAAACACTGTGATCTGCTCCATCATCTCACAGATTGTTCAGCGTTCAATGATCTCATTATTCCTATTGAATGACTTGTTTAATCCACTTAATATGGAGATAATGAATCCAACTAATAAGCCAAGCCTTTTTAGGCACTGCAACTGTCAATTCTTCATAGACTATTACAAGCAAAAAATAAAATACTGTTCATATCCCAACTCTACATTGAACCTTTTCTTGTGTTGTGTTAAGGTCTTAGTCAGATAACGTCATACTGATGAAGAAGAGAGGAAGAGTCAGAGAGAGACAGAAATATGCCAACTGATGCAGGACAAGTTGGCCCAGCCTTTTATGCTTTACACATAGTTAACTCATCAATGACAGTGAGAAAAAGACATGCCCATGTATGTGTGTGTGTGTGTGTATGTGTGTATTGCACTATGAATGCAGCAGAAGTGTAAGGAACAACATGATGTATCTGAAAGCTTGACTCAACACTCTCCCTCAAGAAATTGCTGCATCAAAATTGTGTGTATGTGTGAGAGTGTGTGTTTGTAAAATGGAGTGAGAGTGTGCACACACACGCCTCTACACATTATTACATACCGGTCATTGGTCATGAAACGACATTGCACTATAGATTTCCCTCCAGCAAGTATTGTAGATGATGTTATGACATAAAAGCTTCCCATGCCTCCTTCTCTTCATATTATCACACTTTTGTTGGTTTCATTAAACTTTTCACCTTTTTCTTAAACGTCTGATATTCAATCGTCTGTACAGTCATTCTCTTCAATCTCCAAAAGAGATACATGCTCTGTAGATACTTAAACTGTTAGGTGTTTGGTAAATCAGACCTGAGGTATGGTTGGGATTAAAGACTTCAGTAGAACCACTGGATAAGTTTGCTTTATCATGAAGAGCCTCAAAAGATCTTTAACTTATCTTTAAGCGCTAGACAGAAATATGTACCTCCCTAAACAAAACATTTAATGGTACAAGTATCTATCTTCATTAAATACACAAATGTTTAACACCACATCTTATACCCCATTTTAGTTTGCCAGTGCAATATGATTCACTAATAGAGGGTATTTGTTGCTTCAGCATTTCTATTAAAAAATAATTAAATTGAATGAGATGACACTTATCTCAGTCTGAAGCCAACAAACAGGTTTTATTACATCTAAAAAAGAATACTAGTTTAGGGCATCTCTACAGCCCAACTCACTCCTCCACTACAACACTGTATTGTCTCGTACTTCAGCTTTTTCACAAATCTGCAGCTTCGGACAGTGTGCAGTATTATCGGGATTATTGTGATTTCTGTGTATACAAAGTGTGCACACACAATAGGTGTGATGGAACAGAGCTCAGTGTGTACAATTCCTCAAGGCTTTACAACAGATTAGTGAAGATCAGATTATAATTGTCCCTCTTATGGTATTACAATCATCATCCAATTAAAATGATAAAACTCTTTGATACTACTCAGATGGCTTGTTTCAATGCCTAAAGAGTGTACTACTGCTAAACGTCCATTAGTAATCACACTATATCATTTCATTACAGAAATATGACCTGAGCTGTAAGTGGAAACTCCTCCACCTCTTTCATTGGTAAAACTTTTGATAGAAATTATGTTTTTTTTAATTATCTGAATTAGGCCTACTTACAGCCTTCAAGTTTTCTGAACCGGCAGCAAATACATGACTCTATTGCTGCTGGACAACATCTTACATCTACACAAGGCATTTGGTTTTGAACAATTTATTTGAAGGCTAGCAGTACATATAAATAGGAACCCTTTTATTATGTCATTTTTTTCTCTCGTACTAATAATTAACGTGGAAAAACATGACTTCCATTTCTGTGGAATACCATCCATCAAGGAGGCCCCTTTGAAGCGAAACACAAATGTTTGTGGTTGATGCATTGTGACCTTAACCTGAGACAGTTTGCCTACATTGGAGCATGAATTAGATGTTACCAACAGGTCTAGATAATGTTCACATATGCAATTCATACAGAACATAATGTATTAGCCTTACAGTTCCAACATGAAAAAATATTTACAAGCCTATGACAGTGAAAGTTAAGCAGTTCTTACATTTTTCTCACATCCATAAAACAATTTGTTAAATAATTAACAAAGAGTTAATACCAACCCCGCCATACAGTTTGCCATCAGTATGTAGTTGTTTGAGTCGTTAATGATAGCCAACATCTTGCACAACCGCATTTTGTGTCCTTGCATTAGATAGGCAGAATGTCTGGTAAATGTAGGTATTCAATGTCTAGAACATGACCACAAATTAAAAACTGTTTGCATCAACAGACTTGTAAGCCTTGAGTTCTTCTTTAGTATAAATGCAGGGAAACCTCACACAATTGCTAATGGTTAGCTTGTCACTGTAAGACAACTTGTCTTCCCCTGCCAAATAATTAAAATAATTGGAGAGGGTGTCCAGATGGTCCATGGTTTTCAAATGTGAATCGACCACAAGCTACCCCTTGCTAACTTTCTGCCACCAGTTGGGCTCTGCCCAGAAAATATATCATCAACGTGTACAAACCCCAAAATCAAACCATGAACACATGTTGTGATACAATGGCACAGCAGCTACTTTCCCTTGTTATACCAGTGTCTCTCTTTAGTTCACATCCAGCCTCCGTGCCTCGTCTCAGAGGGGCACACTAAAAAATGTATTGGGGGCATTATTTTGACTGCAGCTTGTTTTTTTAAAATAGAAGCAGTTGCACCAGAGGAGCCAGAGAGTCACAGTCAGCCATCTGCTGCTGCTTTCTCCCTCAGTTAATAATCAGATTTCATATTGATAAGCACTGAAATGTTGGAACCCACCACTGCAAACACTGACACAAAACATAGTAATAACACAAAATCACACGCATGTAACCTTAATCAACATATCTACAGCTTCAATAATCCTATTAAATACACTGTGTGGAGGCAGCTTTATGCTGAAAATGCAGTTATATCATACACAGAAATGCAGAGTGAGTACCGGTGTTTCAGTAGCATTTAGCAAAAGAAATGACATCTTACATAGCACCTAAATACTGAATTTACCAGCGTAAGTAAGAGTGTAGTAAGATAGTACAGGTGGATAAAATGATTTTCTTTAAAGCTTGTGAAGGACTAGTCAGTTGTTTTGAAAAAGTGCAGCAAAAAAAATAGTTTTGTTTGTTGTTTTTTTGGTTCATCAGGAAAATCTTATATACTTGAATATATATATTTAAAAAAATATGACCTAAATATATACCTGTAATTGTACATG